TATGTGCTTTTTTGACATCCGTGTAATTTTTTCCCTGTATCTCAGTTGTAGCTGTTTACACTTCTGTTTTGATTTGCATATTACAATTTGAGGGAAAATGTTTCAGTGGATCAAATTCTTAGATCAAATACACATTTTCTAAAATGTTAAAAGGAAACAAAACATTATTTTTAAGATGAAAAATATAATCTGTTAAATGCTGTAGTAGTTATACAGATAAGAAATTCTTTCTTTCATAGAGGTCTCAATCGCTGAAAATTCTCCTACTAATACTTTCTTTATGGCCATGAAATTCAGAGCAATGTTAGACTCTCTCTTGGTGTGTTTTACTAATGAAATGCAGAAATTGATAAATGTTCAAGTCCTCACTTCATTTTGAGTCTACCTAATGCTAATTAAAAAGAATCATGGCAAATGGAGGATTAGTTCTTATGCCAGATTGAGGATAACTAGTCTTTAAAAGAAATAACTGAGAAAGGTTCACTCCTTAATAAATTTGTACATACTGAAGTAGCTTACTCCATATGATACTGATTCTTTAAGTATTTCTTTAAGATGCATATATCTTTCCATAAAGAATTAGGGATTTGCAGAATTAGCCAGTAACTATTCTAGTGTTTTGCTTTAAACTCTGGAAAATTGAGGAGGAAATCTGTGTCGTAGTATCTGCGTGGTCAAATGCTGCAGATCTTGTTGCAGCGCTGGAGGTTTTGCCTTTTCCTTTTTACTTAAGGTGGAAGGAGAAAGAAGATTGAGTAAATTTTTGTGGAGGCTTGTTCTAGAAAGTCTTACTGTTGTGATGTGAAGAAATGAAATGTACCCCTTGAATGCTGTTTTCTAAATCTTTATCAATGTAATTGTTTGTGACTATTTTAGTAGACTTAGACTTCAAAATAATTTCAAGTCCCTGTATTTAAAAACTAATTTTTCAAGAATATTCTTGGTGGACTTGAAATTAATAATTGAACAAATTTATACTCTGCATTTTGCAGTTTTTTAGTATCTTGCAATAGGTCTGCTAAAAATGAGTTTGTGTTTTGAGATGTGATGTTTTTGGTAAAGAGGACCTTTAGCATAATGGAGCATGAAATAGTCTGGTTTTCTTTTATTAGCTGGTTGTAAGGCAGGTAAAAAATAGGAAATATGGTATAAATGCTAGGTAAAGCCTCTGAAGAATTGGTGTGAGTCTGGCTTTACTTAACAAATAACTATTTTTGTATGCTAAAGTGGTTATTAGTGTTGGCAGTGGTTCTGTGCAGTAAAGCATTTTGTTTAATTTGTATGGGAATAAAGAAAAATTGATGCTACGAGTGTAAGTTGCTATTAGTTATGTTGCTGTCCTCAGGATGCTCAGGAAACTGTGTGAGCTCCAGCTCACAGAACAGCACTTAAGCTGATTCACACAGTGAGCTCAGGAGCAATATAAATGAGAACAAGAATTAGAAGTTTACAGCACACAAATTGTGGTCCATGTTTTGTTTGTAATGCAGGCCTTTTTGTATATATTTTTCTTAACATACTGACTACTGGAATTATTGAATTTTATTTTTATTTAAAAACTGATAGACTTCATGATTGAAAGAAAAACTAGGAATAGGGAGTCAGACAGGAGAGTAGTTTGTGAATACCATTAAAAGCAATAGTAGTTTGTTTTCATGTCTTCATTTTTTCACCTACCATATCAATCCTGTGAATCACAGATCTACTGAAAACCTCTGTGCATATCTCTTGGCTTTATGACTTTATTCATGTGATGGAAAAAGTTAGAATCAGCATTAAAAAAACCTCTACATCCTCACTCAATTCTTTACAGTGCTTTTAAAAAGTCTCTCAGAAATTCTGTGCTACTAGACAACGTTTTGTTCTTTTTCAAGATGTTGGCACTGTTTGGAGTGGCTGAGCCTCTCTTTTGTAAACTTGGGAGTTCTCTGTAAAGAAACTTATCTCCCAGCATTTTGAGGGTGAAGAGAGTGCAGATTCCAAGCCCAGATGCTGCTATATTTTTGATGATAGGAAGGTAGACCAAAAAACGAAGTTTTAAAAGTTATAAAAGTGTAATTTTGAGGAAATTTCTTGGGATTTGGTGCAGCAGGGAGATTCTGTCGAATGTAAATGTAACTCATTCAATTCCTAAATACTACTGCCAGAATATGTTGTGTAATGCTTTTGTTCTTGTTATTTGATTGCATTAGATTACATGCTCACTATAGGTAAACATCAGTTTATGTTTGTGACTAGAAGTAGTTGTAGCTTTTCATAAATTAATGTCTTGAGGCTCCTGTGATTTATGTTACTTGTGAGTGCTGTGGTTAAGAAATAAAGCAGCTATGGAAAAAAAACTGTTTCCAGACTCTCTTGGAGGACTGACTTGGATACAGTTGAAGGAGTTGCATTAGAAACAGAGAAAAGAGTGACTTATGTAGACTGTTCCTGTTTGCCATTGCAAATTAAGTCTTCATATACTTTGATTGATTTTATATATTTAATAGATTATTTTAGTTCTAAGGGGTTTACTTTAATCAGGCTCTTAATTTCTTTAAATTTAGAAAATAACCGAGTTGTTAATCCAAGAGCTGCATTTAAAAAGCTGCATTTAAAAAGTCAATAGTCTGTTACCTGCAAAAATCCTTCTGTCTTCCTAGGCTGTAATTGCTTGATGCATTCCTTTGGCTGTGCACGTTGTTATCCCCACTTTTCCTCTTTTCATGTTTCAGGCTCAGTGGGCAGGTCACTGGGCTGTGTATAATGTCAGCTTTGGGTAGTGGGTTAACACTGCCCTGGTGTTCCCACCATAGAAGGGGGTGACCTGCTTTACAAAAGCTTTGAGAACTCCATAAAATGTGACAGCAAACAATGGTTTGGTTGAGGTTTTTTTCGTTGTTATTTTGTGGTGTTATTTTGTTTTGTTTGTTATAGCAGCATGATAAGCATGTGGGATTATTCTTTTTGAATTTAAAGAAAATAAGTTTAATTTTGCTGTTATCTTTAATTTTAGAAAAGCAAAAATAAAATACGGAGTGTGTTATTGTTACAGTAATAAATGTGTCAGCAGTTAAAATTTCGTGTTATGGCTTTTAGCCAGATGTCTCCCAGTAAAAGTAGAATGATGTATGTAACTTCACAGGTTGCAGTTTGACAAAGAAGCAGTGGAAACTACACTCGTTGTGTTCTAATTTGGCCTCTGATTAGTCTTCTCTCTGTCTGTGTCTTACATTTAGTCAGAAGGGTGAAATAATTTTTTTCCTCACTTGAGTTGTTTTCACTGAATTTCCATTGAATAAGTGTTTGTGAGGGAGATAAAGGGGATGAATTAAAAGGAGATTAATTAAATGTCTAAAGCATTTTTAGTTTTTCTGTTTTGGTGCTTGAACTAATTTACCACTCTCTTGTTTGGAAAGCAATTGATTTGTTCAAATGGATTAAAGGATAAAAAATTATTTAGGAGAGTAGTTATGTTTAAAGTGTTTTGTGAATACACAAGAACTCTTGTAGGGTATATGTGACTGTGAATTTAGAGTACATCATGAAGAAAGTGATTTCAGAGCTATCTGAAATTCAAAGATTTAAATTGTTCAATATTTTGTAGAAGAGTTGTCCTGTCAAGGCTTCTAAAATATGATTTCCAACTATATAAACTCTTTAGAAGATAAATGGAATGAGAGCTATGAAGGGGATAAACAGTGGGACTTAATTACCAGAGAAGTGTGCTTTATATTTTTTGTCTTTAATGTTATCTCATGGAGAAATTACAAACAAGAGATATGTGTGCGTGTTGATATCATGGACACCAGACTGTGTGTTGTCTCATGTCTGATCACAGTGGTTGTGGTCACCCAGGAGCACAGGGATTAGAGGCAAGGAAGGAGGCTGATGGCATTCCTTTTTTGAGTTATGTTCTGCTGGAATTGTGTTTTCCTTCCATTCGGTCAGATTTCTGATCTGATGACTTTTAGGCTGGCTGAGGTGTATTGTTTGCTCCCAGCTGGGAAGATTCCTTTGTTTTGAATCACACCTCAGGTGTATGTTGATATTCAGTTGGTTTGAGCACGGTGCTGGTAACATCAAGGTCGCAGGTTTGATCTCTGTAAGGACCATTGTTTTAAGAGTTGACTCAATAAGATCCTTGTGGGTCCTGAAAACTGTAACCAGCATCATTCAGAAGCTGGAATATTGGATTAAAATACAGAGTAATCAGCTATTACAGTCCTCTATAGCTTTCCTCCTTCTGGTCTCTGACAACTTTTCTGGACTTTAAATACATTTTAAATTTAGAAATTTATAAATACATAAATACATAAATAAATTTATAAATACATTTTAAATTTATATACAAATAAAATTTAAATACATTATAATTCTTATAACTCATTTTTATGTTTAAGTTGAAGTACATTTTCTACCCACATATCAAAGTACTGCTCAATTTTTGGCATTGAAATAGTGATTTTGTATTCCCTTTACATTGCAGAGCCTACTTTGGCCACCAAGAATGATGAGAGACTTTTTTAGGGAATTGGTGTGTATTTAGCATTAGTTAAAGGTGCCATTCAGCACTTCAACAAGAATATTTTATAAAGGCTGAAAGCCATTCTTATACAGAGATAACCAAGATGCAGCTGTGGGATTCTCTAGGACTCAGTCACCATTTCTCCTCTACAGTCATAGATCTTGTGAATGACAAGGTGGGGGTAGTTGGAATGGCTGAAGATTAGCATCCCCTGCTGTTTTGTAATTATCAGAATCTGGACAGTCATTTATTTGAATGAAATAATGCATACAGTTTGTGCCTCCAAAGAAAAGCATACATAATGTGATTGTAAGAAGAGGTTTTCAGTCTCTCAGTGGGATGTGATTGGGTATGTTTATAAACTTCAACCTAGCAGTGTCTCTGCAGTGGAATTCCACTGGTATTGAGATAATAATTTGCACAGTCAAATTGCTTTCCTTACAAAAACCCAGGGAATTATGAGGCCTAATCCTTTATTAATGTCAACCCATAGGCAGCAAGAAAGCGTAAGATTGCCATTCGAAAAGCCCAGGGGAAAAATCTCGAGGCCATCCGAGAGCTGAATGAGTATCTGGAACAGTGAGTGTCTTACAAGAATACGGATTGTGTTTTGCTATTCTGATAAATCTTTTTAATTAAAGTGGAATTTGCATTTAATTTACTCTTTTGCTTCAGTGCTAGTCATTTACAGAATTCCTGGCACATTCTCTCTTTTTTTCCTTTTTCCCCTCTCTTGTATTCTCTATACAGATTTGTTGGTGACCAAGAAGCTTGGCATGAACTTGCAGAACTTTACATCAATGAACACGAGTAAGTTGTTTGCTAAGTCTGCATAAAAAATGTTAATTTGAAACCCACTCTGTGTAAGTCAAAAACCACAGTAATTTTTTTTAAGGAGTAGTGTTACAAAGTATGCTGTCTCATTTCCAATATACTAGGCCTCAAATGGAAATAATTACCAAGCTTATTTGGCTACCAAATACTTTAAGAAGGCATTTGTTTTTCAAACAAAAAGAGTTTGTTTAATTACCTGTATGTTTTAATAGTTTTTAAAAATCTGATGTTTAGAAGAAGTGGTTTGAGTGCAGCAGAGAACACTTCCCATCATTTTTTGTTCAAGTTGTGTATTTTACTTGTTAGAGGTGTTAAATTCTCTACTTCTAAAATCAATTGATCACAGCAAGCGATATTCCAATTTTCTTTTAGCCTACCTCTCCCAGAACTTTTAGTAACCTTTAAAAAAAACCCCACAAAGCAAAACATGGATCCAGAGTTGGAGGCATCTGGTCGCCTGGGTACAAAACCCAATGCGATCAAGAATGCTGAATGTTGTAGTAACTGGCTTATTGGATATTTAATGTTTTTGTTAGCTTTTGTTATTGCTGTAGTGACAGGAGGAAATCCCAGTGTGAGAAGATTAGCACCAAAGCCTTAGTGCAAGTTTTCTAATATCACAGCATTAATTCAAACCTCCACCAAAAGGCGTATCTTTTCTTTCCCCTCTTTCTTTGGTTCTTCAAGCCAGCCTGAATTATATCACATTGTTTCCTTCTTTCCTTTTGAGAGGGTGGTAAAAGAATCAAATTGTCAAGAAAGAAATAGCCATTCTCACCGTGAGGAAAGAATTGTTCCCCAATCACCTCTCCTTGCACCCCATTCTCAAAGAAAATAGTTATTAAACTCTTTTAAATGATGACTTCAGGAATAAACTGGAATTTTGATACCCAGGCTTCCATTTGTTTAGGGAAATCTACCAGCCACTTTTCCAAGAAAATAGCTACTAAAAAAAAAAAAAAATTGGCTGGAAAGATATTTAAGCTTGTCAAATCTGTCAGTACGAAAGTGAGTGATAGAGTGGTTCAAACATACGTATTCCATTATTGGGTTGGGGTTTTTTTGCTATAATCTTTATTATGAAATTGTGCAATAAAACCCAAGAAAGAAATTGCTTTTGCTTGTATTTGTTTTGGTCTGTAATTCCAATAAAAAGCAATATGCAATACTTCAGTTCATGGAAAGAATTCACTGTCCTCACTGTACTTCCATAAGCATCATTATTATTATTTTGATAATGGGGAAAAATTGGGCTCTTGGCTAAAAGCAACTAAAAGTTAAGTTTTAAAAAAGAAGATAATTCATCAGTTTATATGTTTTATCAGGGTTACAAGTCACAGGGCTTGTGAAATCACCATTCTCATTTTTGTTCATAAACACATGTAGATATACAAGGTTTGCACAGTCCTCAGTTCTACCCTATTCTGCCATGAGGACTCTGGTTTCTGCTTTTGGAGAGTGAGGTGGCTGCCCTTTTATCTCCAGATTAATAAATTATACAGATACATGACAATCATAACATGCACCAAAGTAAACCACAACATATTTATTTTAGGATACAAGATTTTACAGGTAATATGGCTTAATATGGTCTCATAATTGCTAAATTGCTTTTACTGCGATATTAAATATATACCCACACTGTCATTATAAACCTTGTATCTCTGAATTTTGGAATCCTGTGACATAAACTGTGCAAGAGTGCTATCACATATCACTAAATGATGCAAATTCTGCAGACAGTTCTATTATTTGAAAGATTACAAAGCTAAGATTCTTCTCAATAAACCTGCATTTTGAGCTTGACTTCTTGATCCTTTCTGAAAGTTTCCACCAAGGAACTCAAAGACTAGCCTTTTCAAATGATAAGGATTTGCCCATTTTGAGAGGTCTGATGCTATTTTCATACATTGATTTGGACTGTTTGCATTTTAGAACTGTTCTTAGTATGTTGGTTTTTTGTCTCAATTCTGTGGTTGACTGTTGGCAGGTAAAGTTAATTGACAGTGTAAATGCTGTGATCAGTAGCTGAATTTATAAATCTTCAGATAGTTGAATTTTCTTAGGAAAAAAAGGAATTATTTTGTAGTTTCAGTTCAGTGTCTTACAGTACGTAATACTTGTTTTTACTCATCCCTCCTGCTGATGAAAAATGGCACTTATTAATAAGAGATTAGTATTAAATGCTTTTCATGAGCTGTTCCAGTTATACCTAGACCATTAGATTTTGGGTATTTTTCCCCTGTCTATAATATAAAAAAAGTAACTTGGTTCTGAACTTTATTTTAAAATGAACCATTTAAATTAATTGTGAATCATGTGATTTTATGGGGGAGGGGGAAGTGAGGCTTGTATTGTGCTGTAAAAAAACTGAAGCAAAGAGCTGTGTACTCGAGTTTCATTTTGTCACTGTTTTTTGTATTCCTCAGCTATGCAAAGGCAGCCTTCTGCTTAGAGGAGCTTATGATGACTAATCCACACAACCACTTATATTGTCAACAATATGCTGAAGTAGGTATTTCAGAAAAAAATCAATTATGTTTGATTACATTTTCTGTTTTTATGTTACTGAAGTGGTGAAAATGGTTTCTTTAATTTTTCCCTAGGAGATTTTAAGACTTCACAGAGAATGTTAACATCTCATAGAACTGATTATGTTCTGAAAACTGTGTTTTCATACTCAGTGACTCAGTCACAGTGTGACTAAGCTAAATATAAGAGTTAGGGGAGGAATTATTCAAGATAAAAGCTAATTTTAAATGAACTCTTCTTGTTGAAGTTTTTATGCACTTTTCAAATTAAGTTCCTGAGAAGCTAAACTTTTCTACAAGAATGCTGCCTAGAAGTTTAAAATGTATTGCCTGTTACTGTGGACTCAGATCTTGGAATCCACATACGAAATTCTGCTGAAGGAACACTGGTGGAAGAAAGGTGAATGCTAGAGGTAAAGTTAGGAGTTTTAGCTCAAGGTTTTAGCCATCTGAATTTGTCTTTTTTTTTCCAGATTATTTTTTTCCTAAATTATACTGTTAACTGCTTAGAATGGGTTTAATTTGTTTAGTTAACATGGGTAAAATTGGGTTGACATTAAAACTTGAAGGCCTGAGTAGCTTTCTCTTAGAAAGACTTTAAACATATCTTCTAGTATTTATCTCTTTTTGTTGGTCTAATATATAGAAAAATTAATAGAAAAATAATGGAGTAATCCTCTAAACTTTGTGTGCTATTTTGAATACATAATGAAAGACATTGTGTTGTTATGTGAGCTGTTTTCATGCATGCTGTGGGAACATAGTGTCAGTATGGATTTCTAGTAGTCAGAATTTGGATTTAAAGTTTGTGCTACTGTTCATAAGAGACAATCCCAAGGTTTCAGGTATTTATAGATGAAAAAGAATCACTTTTTAATCTTGTAGCAATGCATTAATGAAATTAATGCTGAGGTTTTTTCTCCTATAGTTAAATATTTTTAAATGTATCTGTTGTGAAGAGCTTGGATTTCTCCCAGGCCAGTATTTGGCCTTTGATAGGACTCACCTGATTTGAAATGTCATGTGAAACGAACTGGGAGTGAATTTTTGTAATATCATTGCTTCAAAGTGAAAGCCTGAGGTATGAATGACATGCAAGTTTCAGGAGTTTACCATTTTTACAGGTTAAATACACTCAGGGGGGGCTTGAAAACCTTGAGCTGTCAAGAAAGTATTTTGCACAAGCACTGAAGCTTAACAACAGAAATATGAGAGCTCTATTTGGACTTTACATGGTAAGCATGATTATGTATTTTCCGTGTTATCATTCTGAGTATGTTTATGCATGTATGTTATCCTTTGCCATTTGCTGGTTTTCCCCTGATTTTTAGCTTAACAGCTCACTGTTTTAAAATACAGAGTATTTTACATACCTTTGGAGTAGGGATAATTTTGTGCTAGTAACTACTCCTTACCGAAGTGCTCTTAACCTTTAAGTCTTGGCTGTATTTTCCAAAGAATTATTGTTACTGGCATGGGAAGGTAACTTCTTCAAAAAGGATTTAAAGTCAGGCATCCTCTCTAGAAGATGATGAATTGCTGAAAAACACCAGCACAGTAGCAGTATTCCTTGCAGAGTGGATTTATTTATATAAGTAAAATCTTTCTTTGGTTCTTAAGTAATATTTTGTATTCTTTCAGGTGAGGGTGGGCATATTTTATGTATAGTCTTATCTGCTTTTAAAAGTGTTTTCTGATGCAACAGGGGAAAATGCCATGTCTGCAATGGCTGCTTGGACGTACAAGTGATGCATTTTATATTGTGTCTGGTAAAAAATTGATGTGGAAAACTAATTCATAACTCTCACTTTAGGAGAAGCAAATTGGATTAGCTAATCATGTCCAGGTTTGGTTCTTAACTCAGTACAGAACTGAACTGAAGTCTAATGTAGCTTTAAATAGAACAAACAATAGTTTAAAAAGTCTAGCTGATTCTTATCTGGATGCTGTTTGCTGGTAGCTTTTAAATTTTTTTTGTCTTTTTCCACTATCACTGTCCATGGGGCTTGGACTGTAAGGATGCTCAAGGTTCTCAGCTTATTTCATGCACATAAATTTTATAATTACACTGAGTTTTGTTTTTATTTTATTGTATTCCTAGTCTGCCAGTCATATTGCTTCCAATCCAAAAGCAAGTGCAAAAATGAAAAAAGATAATATGAAATATGCCAGCTGGGCAGCAAACCAAATAAACAGAGCATACCAGGTTAGTACTTCATTGCTTTATGATACTCTCAACATGCTCTATAGTTCTTTTCTGCACTTTTATCAGCTGCTGTTCAAGAGGTTTAATATGACATGTAAATCAGCATAATCTGCTTGGATTTTTTTACATTCTGCTTCTGTTTGATTTCCTGGAAACCTTAATTAATAAAAGGTTAAGTTTCTTGGAAGCCTTAATTAATAATTTTTACAGTTACTAATTGCTATCATTTACTTAATATCTTTAAACATACTTTTCCTACTAACATTAACTGAACGTGTATTACTGTAATATTGACCTTCAAGACTTGGTTCTACAGGTATTTTGGAAAACTTGGTATGTCTTAATTCTTAGAGTGACTTCATTATCCACTTCTATTTTACTAGAAAACAAATTAAATTATAGGAGCTTTGTTTTCCTTGAATTTACTCTAACCTTTCAAAATCATATTTAATTGCCTTAATATTTGTGACTGAAGTTGGTTTTGTGTAGTTTTGTAGAGAAATGCTTATTGAGTTGTGAAAACGTAGACTTTGTAGGCCATAATCAAAGCTTGCTGAAGTAATTTGGAGTCTTTCCAACTTTTTTAAAAGTTATGTGTAAACTTCTGTATATCCTGTTGTATTATAAGCCTCTATTTCTTTCTATAACTATGAATGAAAACATGTTTTAGCTCATGGGCTCTGCTGTCTGTGTATCCCAAATATATTATGTCTATTTGACTCCATTACAGCTATTCTTAATGATCTGCCAATCAAAGTTTATATATAAGTAATCCTGGACATCAACATCATACTGTCCAATTCTCCCCACAACTTTTTTGTTGAGCAAATGTATTGGTACTAAATGCAAAGACTTTGTAGCTCTTTGTACATGTAGCTCTTCTTTCTCCCTGCAACATATCAGTATTGGAACCCATTATTTAATTTTTTTCTTCTTGCTACTGTTTCACAGTTAATACTACCAAATGGCCTTTTTACAAGCAGCATATCTATAGGGAATTAAATTAGATTTTCCTTTTACAGACAGTACAGTTTTCTTAATACTTAACTGCGTTTCAGTTTCTTGCCAAGTGTGCAGCTTCTTGTGGCTGATGTGTTTTTGATATATGCCAATTTAGAGGTATTTTCCATTTCTCCTAATTGGCCCTGCAGCTTCTGACTGTACAGTGAAGAGCATTGTATCCCTGGGGACATAATGAAAACTTTTTAACATGTGCCTAAAGTTTATTTCTCTTCTGCTCTTTAAATCGCTCTGCTTTTCAGTAATAAACCATTTACCTGCTCATGATGGTAAGGTGTGTATGAATTAACTACTTTGTCTGATGCTTCATAAATAACCAGGGCTTCTTTTGACTCTAAGTATGCCTGACATTCCTCTAAGCACAGCACAGATGGAAAACTCAAGTATTGCAGGATTAAAACCAAACAAAACCCAAAAAAACCCAACAAAAACCCCACAAAAACAACAAAACAACCCAAAGAAATTTTAAAAAAACCTAACACAAATCCAACCAAAACAACCAACCACATACTAGAAACCATTAAAGAATGGTTTTTAGTAAATACACCACAGATTCATAATTGACAGAACACAATAGGTTTTAAAAGATGTGTGAATTTTTAGTGAAAACCAGTATGCTGTGTTTTACATCTTAGTAAAATCAACTGCTTAGATTACAGTGGATTTGCATATGTTTTAAGTAAATATTGTGACTGTAGTTCAAAGTACTGGTAGAGACTTGTTAGCACTTCTGGGAAGCAGTCCCTTTCAGGGTGCATCAGGGTGGAAATTTACAGCCAGTGTGGGCCATGGAATGGCCTAGAAGACCTGGAAATAGGCATCTTCTGGTTCTAAATATAATGGATGTGTAATTATGACAGCTTCTAGTTAACTGTTTCCCATCCAGATAAGCATGCCTGTTCGGTTTTTTCTTCCTTTCCCTTCTTTTCTCTTCTCATGGCTTTCTGTTAATATCATAATGTCTATAATAAAACACAAATTTTATTGGGAATGGTGTGGTGCTGGGAGCATTTTTAAGTGCAGGGGGTTTGGGGAGGGACTGTTTGTTTGTTGGTTTTCTTCTAGTTTGAGATGTCTATTACTGTTTTTTTGGATCCTACATTAAGCATTTTTGGTTGATGCTTCCCAGAACAGGTCATGTGAACACAACTAACGTACATACATACATACATATATATATATATATATATATATATATATATATATATACACACACACACACATATAGCCTCCTCTTCTGCTTCTGTTAGCTGTTTGGGATATAAAGTGAAGAACACTGTGTGTGATGAGAATCTTAGGGGAAATTCAGCTCTTGGAAAATGAAAGTGCTGAAACTCAAGCCAGGATCTGGCAAATAAATGGGGTGACTACCTCCATTCCTCTTCCCAGAAGAACTACAAGAAGCTCCAGTGAGCACAGCTTGGCAGGACATCCCCAGCCCAACCCCCTTGGGTTGTTACAGTGCTGCAGAAGCGTTTGGCTACTCCAGTCTCTGTCAGCGACTCAGAACATCCAGCAGCTACAGCCAGAGGTGTTAGGTGATGCAGTAGTGGCAGTCACCCTATGAGTCAGTGTTGATTTGTTGCTCCCTCGATGAGCTGAGCTGTTGGAAATTGTCACCATTTGGACCTGAGGATGAAACCTTGGTCACTTGTGCCAGGGGAAGCCCTTACAGTGTTCTGCATTAGTGGGAGGGTATGTCTAGACAGGTTTTAAGCTGGATATTTATATGATCTCTATAAATCCTCCCCACTTTCCATGCATTATCCACCTGTAAAGTGCAGTAAGGGCCTTAACAGCTTGTTGGGTTTGACATTGACTTGTTTTATTGGTTGGACATTCTCCTACTGCTAAATGATGTTTTTCTGGTGGTCATGTTCTAGAGAGCAAGATGAATTTGGAATCCTGATTTGGATGTCTATACAAATTATATGAATTTGTGACTTTAAATTCCAAATTATTAAAGCAAAAAGTTAGTTTTGAGCAATTGTCTTGCTGTGAGATCTTTCCCTATTTCCAGTTTGGATTTGAACTTGAATTACCAGCAGTTTGATCAGTAATTTTGAAAAACTGCCTTTATTTTCTCAAGTTACTGGCTATAGTTGCTTTTAAATTATTTAATTATTTAAAAAAAATATTTTGTATGCTATTTACTTGAATATTTTTACTGGTCTTCTTCTTTCAATTTATTCTGTCATTCCAGCAGTGTGCTTTGGCACTTGATTTTTGCTCTTCCTGTGCATTCCTCTATGAAATCAGAGGAACTTAGTTTATTGTCATTTAAAGAAAGCGGTGTTTGAGTAAAGAAAGAAAACATTACTTCACCGATGTTGGTTAGACTGTGCAGCACTGTCTTTACAAGAAAACATGTTGATAAAGAATAGTTTAAAAAATTCTGAAATGCACAGATATTTGACACTTCAGCTAGTTAATATACTTATTTTGATGTTAAATATATAACAATCCATGCTGATTAGTACTTCTCATCTGTGTCTAATCTAGGAGAAATGTAAACTTCTTCAGGAAGACAGAAAGGTTTTGTAACTAGGGCTGCTGTATGGAGCTGGAATTCCTGGCTGCTAACACATCCCCTGAAAAAAAAAAGTCATTATGCTCCAGGCTTCTTAAATTTAATTGAATGGGTGGAAAAAAGACCTAAATAAAATTTAATTTTAATCTTCTATTTCAGAAGCTAGTGAAGTACTCCTTATTCAAAAAATTAGTTTTAAGTTTATTATTATTATAAGCTTACTTTTGCCTTATGACTGGGAAACTGGATCATTCCATATGTGCAGACCCTGAGAAAAACTTCTGTCTGTTCTAACTGAGGACATGAGTCACAGTTATTTTAACACCAAAACAAAATAAGGCTACCTGGTGCTCTTCAATTAGGTAATTGGTTTAGCATGTCCTCTGGTAGAAGCATTTCAGCAGAGGCAGGCGAGTTTGATTAATGCTCACAAAAATCTTTAATGTGATCCTACTCACAGTAATTTTCCAGATACACGCTTCTTGGGTACATTGCTAAACACTTCTGTGTTAGCAATCTACATGTTATTTATGGCTGGAGAGAGGTGATTTTGTTACCAGCCATTTGGGAAACAGAAAATTAAGTCATGATTTAAGAAATGGATTCCAGCTCAATCAGTCAAATTGCTGTGTAATGGCTGAATAGACAAAATAATTGTTCGTCAGGGCAAATTTGAAGTGATTACATTTCCAAGTGTGCTTCTGGTTGTTATGACGTAGAGTTTGGTTTTATTTGTTCAGTTTAAACTACATGTCAGTATCATGAAGGCAACTGCTCTTGAAATTAGCAAGTAGCATTTTTTTAAACTAATGTCATGTGTCAATTTTGCTTCCAGTGTCCATGTCAAGAATAAGTAAAATATTTCTTTACTTTGAAGCTTTTCTCTGCGTGCTTTCTGCATGTCTTGCCAAGTGCTTTTTGGCCACAGTATATTTAGGCTTTTGTGCATTTTATTGAAATTTCTGAATGCTTTGAGTTTTAACAATTTTTCACTTTAAACTTTTGACTTGTGTTTTTTAAACTTGCTTATTGTTGTGAAAGGATTTGGAATTTCCAAGTGCCTGTTTCATGTGGACAAAGAGAGAATATTTTATTCAATCAGATAAAATCATAAGTTGCTGCTTTCACCTTGGAGAATCTTAAGAAATCTTGGATTTTCCTCTGAAGTTGACTATTACATGTCACTTTGGAAACTGCACACCCTGAAGAATGGGTTTATATATACTACGAGAATCAAAACCTGCTATACCAGTTAATGACCTGGAAGTATAATACATGAAAATACAGTGTTTTCAGTACATCTCTAAGCTGTAAAGTGTTGTTACAGTAAGAAAATTTCTCGTAACTTTGATTTGAGATAGCTTATTATTTACTGTGCCAAAACTATTTTTTTTAAAAAAACCTCAATGCTGATTGGGAATTGCAATGCTAGATTGTAGCCTAGGGGTCAAAAGCAGGTTAACAGGTCCTGCAGCTTGTTGCTGGTGTGAGATTACCTGAGTTTGATGACTTAATCTTTCTTAACAGGTCATGAAGAGTTTGCTAAATTAAGTTAATTATAAGAGAGAAGGGACACATTATAAATCAAGGACTAACTATGCAAGACACCAGTGGTATTTGAAATAAAAAACTTCAAATTGAAAATTTATTGAGTGTTTAGATGTTAACATTCAAGTAGAGGATAGGTTTTTTTACTAAAAGCAAGTTTTAGTTACTGTTTCTGTAATTTCTTTACTGCCTCTCCCAAGCTGAAATGCAAAACTTTTTAGTGCAGGTGTATTAAAAATGGTTAGGAATTTCATTTGACTAAAGACCAACCTGGTCAATTAATCCGCTCTGTTAGATATGGCTTATGAATGATGGCAATTTTCAGTATCATTAGAAAAACCCTTTTGAGTTCAACATGGGGTGGTCAGCATATCCTGTCCTTCTACCCCTTCCTTTTTAAAGCCACTACTAGTATTTGTTAAGCTGTGTCTTTCTTTCTTATCAAGACAGACTTTATTTCAAATGTTCTCTGAAATTGGTGTTTTAATAGTAGGCTACAGTCAAGTACAATGTCATCCCACATGGTTACTTTGACCCATAAAATATAATTATATGTTGTCTGGATTGTTTTATAGTAAATGTTGATAAGTAGAATTTTTTCTGTCTTACTTTAACAGAAAGTATTTCTTCTTCATTGAAGAAGGTGTTACAGCTTGTATTCTGCTGGAAATTCTGAGGTTTAATTTTGTGCTTTTAAGTTTTTAATAAATAGAGTTAATTATTGTTATTTGGTGTGTAGAACTGTTCTTTTCACAGGATTTAGTCATAGAATGTCAGGTATTTGACAAATAACAATCCTTTCTTTCCTCTTTAGTTTGCAGGTCGCAGTAAGAAAGAAACTAAATACTCTTTGAAGGCAGTGGAAGACATGTTGGAGACCCTGCAAATCACTCAGTCTTAGCTTGGCACAGAGATCTAATATGAAATTTTCCAATACCACACTCAACCTGTAATGACCTGTGGGTTATGTTACTCTAGTGCTGTTAAAAGTTAATTTTGTATTGATTACGTGCTATATAAAATAACATTTTATGAAAAGTAAAATGCCTATTTATTGCTGCTGTAAGAAATGTGATGAATACCCACTGAAATGAATTAACTTATCCACATAAACAACACGAAGAAATTACGTGCTGCACATCAGTATCCTCAGATTTTTGTATGTACAGTACCTGCTTCTAAGCCATAATTTCTAGAAATAAACTTGTTAAATGATTAAGAAAATACAGTGACTTAAATTTATATATGTAGATTATTAACATATGCTAAATATTTTTTCTTATTTGCACATTTAAGAGTAAAAACATGCTACAGAGGTGCACTTTCTGGAAAATACATCAAGGAGTGATTATGAGTACACTTCATTAGAGAAGAAAGTTTGTTAAGGGTTTTCTTAATGAGTTCATATCTAGTACTGTAGAAATGGAGAAAACTTACTCATGGACTTTGCTTCAGAGGTACTGTTGTACTGACTTAAGGGCAAAGACATTCTTCTTTGTGGCTTTGTGGGCAAATGCTTCTATGTCCATGTAATTCTCTGATTGGTGTATGCATATTCCCTTTATTTTCTTCCTTCTATGAGTTCTTTCTTGTACATGTGTTCCACATGGTGAATTTCAGCTGGGGCTCTGTGCTGGTCTCTGCTGTTCTGTGTCCCTGGTATTGGCACCCCTGCTGTGGTGCTTTGGCTTCTCCACATGGAGCGGGGGTTACTGCACTGAAGGGGTGACATGAGAGCTTGTTCAGCTGCCTTGCACTTACTGAAGGATAGTGTTTGTTACACCATCAGCATGAGGCATCTAGCACACTGTAAAACTGTTGCTTTTTTGTCTTCAGGCACTTGTTTATTTACTCAGATAATTAGTCAAACACCCTCATTCAAGCATTTTGCACCTCTGATCGTTCTGGATGTTGTTCAGATGTGCACTGTGGCAATTCAGTTGCACAGCTATCATTTCATTTACTACAGCTTCAGTAAGATTGCATAACAGCATCAACAGACCTTTGGCAAATGCTAATACCAGTACTGCAAAGTTGTTTTCATGGCTGCTACAACCATCCAAGATGATTAGACTTTCAGATTTTATACTGCCTAATCTATATAGATAGATGGGTTAAAGATTTTATTAAACCCTATGATCCTGGACTTGATGTAATAAAACACAGCAGAGTTCCTTCTTAAAAACAAACCAGCAACAAAAACTTCCTTCAAAGCTTGTAAATTTGTATAACTGAGCTGTTTTTTGCATGAGACTGGGCCTTCAAGAAACATCTAGGATCTGACTCTTATCCATGAAGTAGGTTGGAGTGTGACAGAATGGATGCCATGCCTTGAGAATTAATTGTATGTGGAATCATAAAATAGTTTATTTCACTGCTGTTGAAATACAAAACTGCAGATACTGCGTAGTGTTATATTAAATAATCCAATTCTAACTTGGGGAAATAGTGCACATCCTTTTATAATAATAATTCACAAACTGGCCTCAGAACAACATGTGTGGCTGGATTATATATGCTTTGGGTGGAAAACATCATATTTGAAACATATCATACTTGGTCCTGTGTATTTCTGTTGTAGTCTTTGATTGTATGAGTGTGCCATCTAGAGTTTTAAACCCTCATTAGTATTTTTTCTGTTATGCCTACATCTCGTGTAACTTGGTTGCATTTTAAAATTAAAAATGGTGGGAAATTGTACTGAAGGTTAAAATTACTTGGTGCATAACATTTTACCTCCAAGTTATTAAAAGCCAGCAGTGCAGAATTTTTGTGTAGCAGGCACCTCCTGCTGAAATATGCTGTATATAAAGCTTTGTTCAGATGCAGCTTTTAATATAGCAATGTCAGACTTGGGTATTTAGTAGATCAGTTTCTCTGTAAGGAAATTTGTTCTGTTTCTTGTTTTCAGTTATTTGATGACAATTTTCATGTCATTTGGCTGCTTAGCACCTTCTCATTTTCATTACTGTTTAGCATCTCTTTGAAATTACTATTTAGCGCTCTGATTTGTGCTTGTATTTTGGCAAGATTTCCACATGGTAGAGCTTACAAGTCAACCTTGCAAATATTTCTGACAAATTTGTGTTTACTTCAAAGGTTAAATAAATTACTCCAATGAAAATGCATGGGCAGTCTCCAACAGAACTATTGAACTGCAGCAACGGAAATTGAGAGTATTTTTCATATTGAAATATAAAAATAAAGTTTAAAAATCCTCTGCAGGAGAAGTAACTGCTTGAAATGCCCTGCACTTTCAGCAGGAAAGGGCTTGCTGAGAAGAGAAGTTGTCATATAATATGATCATTGTAAAAGTAATTTTCCAGTTCTAGTAAATGATTTTGTAATGTTACAGATGCTGTGTTGCATTAAAGAATAGGTTTTCAGAGAATGGGTTACTTAATTAACAAGTGAACTTCATTAAGTTCTGTATTGTGCTCTGACAGTGACAAATGCTACACAAAAATATTATCAAGCATTCAGTCTCCTCTTTCCAAAATAAAAGGCCATGTTTTCATATTGTTTCAGTTGACAGCGAAAGTTTGGGGCCTTTGCAGTGCCAGGCTGTGTAGCAATGACTGTGTCTGTTTTCTCAACCATACTTTGATAATAGGCTTGACAGGGAGAGCTCAGTGTTACCTGATGAGGTAAAAGTCATTGAAGAGCCACCAAAACCTCCATATCTGCCTTTGTGATACAAGTAATTGATAACTTCTTCAAAGCCTTTGGTCCAAGTGTTACACAGTTCATTTTATGTAGCTGCTAAAAGCACATCTTGTTTAGAATGTATCCCTAAATCTCTTCAGTTCAGTGCCCAGAAGGTCTTGCAGTTGCTATTGGAAACTCTGTTATTAGTCAACGGAGGACTTCCTCTTGGCAGTGCTGTATTTGTAATGGCATCCATGTTTGCTAGTCACTGCATTTACAGTGGAACTTGTATTTCAGCCAGCTTTAGAAAGGAGGGGAAAAGGAAAGCAAATTAAACTTGACTTACTGGCATGAATTTGTTAGCTTCTTGTTACTTGCACTCTCATCTTCCAAGAACACCAACTGTAGCTGCAGTCAGGTTTGCAATAATAATTCTTGTAATTTAAGAGCTTTATGTATTCAGCTCTAAACTCAAAACTCTGTTATAATCTAAACCATAGAGATTCCAGTGAAATAGTGCTATGTGATGTGCACATACCTCTATGCAGGAAAGGACTACACCCACCCTCCTTCAAGTTGGTGTCAGAGTAGAGGAGCATCAGTACAGTTTTTGACTGTGACTTTGTCTATAAAATTAATGTGGCTTAGTATTTTTCAAAATATTGCTTAGTATTTGTTCAGTGTATGAATAGAATGTCAGGACTATTGCTTAACTATGGCAAGTAGTCTCCTGTACTACTGTCTGTACTAGTAGAACAGATGACTTGAGTCTACCCAGAGAGTAGTTACCAGGAACGAATGGGTCTGCCTCTTAAAAGTAAACTGAAAAAAAAATCCCCCAAACAACAAAACCCAACTCCTCCACCCAAAAAACACCCAGAAAAAAGCCCCAAACCCCTACCAAAACAACAAAAACCCAACAAACAAACAAAAAAAACCCCCAAAAAACTAAACCAAACAAACAAAAAAACCCAAAAATACAAATCCCAGAAAAAAACTGCAAAGACAAAAAGACAAAAATAAATCAACCCCACCAACATCACCTGGTAAAGTTGATTTTCAGCTGCTGGATGTGAAATGCAAAACGTTTATCAGTGCATTTCATAGGTGAATTTATTTTGCCTTGTGGGGAAGTCTGCTGTACAAAGCAGTGCAATCCCTTCAGTGCTTATCAGGAAGGAAGTAGGGCTGCAGAAGCACACAGGCCAGTTCAACCCAATGCCATAATAGGGTTTCCACTGACTGGCATGTTGCAGAGAACATCCCATGCATCTGCACTCAGAATCCCAGAGCTGAGCAGTCATGGTGAAAAGCACTAAATGAGCCTGGCCTGGCACAGCCCAGAGCCTGCAGAGTTGGTGCTCAGGGCCATGTGCTCACAGACCCAGCACAGCACCTGAGCTCTGCCTACGTGCCGCTAGGGCTGCACTTTGCCATGAGTCCCTCAGTCTCCTCACAGGATCTTGCTTCTAATGAGGACTGTTCTGTCCTCTGCTTTACTTTTCTCCCATTGGCATCTCCACAGCTAGAGAATCTTGCAAAAGATCTGTTTTTTCTTTGAGACTGGTGTAGAGGTGAGGATGCAGATGGATCAGTTGCTGGAGTGACCCTGGCTCTGTGAAGGTTTTGCACACTTGGCTTCAGTGCACTGAGTGACCAGTGCACACCTAAAGGTCAGCGTGTAAGCTTTGCCTTGGACTGAGTCTGCTCAAACCCTTTGTGGGTGCTTGACAGAGAGTGCCTGAGGGTGGATGTGATCTATGCTGAATGACCTGGAAGTGGAAAAATCTGTTATGATGATGTGGTGACTGCAGTTTGGGTCTCACAGTCACTGGGCCTTTTTGTGCATGTGTGTGAAACAGCATGGGGTGAATCACTTCAGGAAAACAGCCACCAGCTGGGAGGCTCTTTCTTTATCCAAGTCAAAGGGATGGCTGGAAGGAGGACAAACCACCTTTTCGACTTGAGTGAGTGACCAGAGGCCCACTAGCTCTCTGCCCTGTACGTGACAACATTTGCTGCGCTTTTGTATTGCCAAAATAATGATAGGTGCTAGGTTGTGTTTAAAATTTAAAAAAATAGTGGTGCAAACATGTTTCTCTCATCGTCCCTGTGTATTTTAACTGCTTTCAATGTGAACTTGATGTTATGATTCCTCATAACATTTGGGTGGCATGTAGGCATCTACCTCAAGGCAGTGGAGAAAGACACATTTGCAGTGGCTGCTCACATGGGAAGTTTCTGGTGGGCTTCCATCATGGCAGGCCACAACCTGTTTGCACTTCTTGTCTCATAGATGGGGCTTGCTTAAATAACATTCCTCTTAGGATCCAGGCTAATTTTCCCCAGAGAAGGAAGGCTCTTTTCCCAAATTTATACTTTTCTTTTTTTTCTGTAGCAAGATTTTAGGTTTTGGACATTATGTTTGGATGTGAAACTTTAAACCAGGCAGAGACTGCAAAAATCAACAGTGAAGCAGTTTCAAAAAAGTGAGCAGCAAGTAAAATTAACCATTGCCTTTGTTTATTTAGGTAATTGAGCTTGACACCATGGTGTGTCTGACAAGTTGGT